TGGTTACACCACGTCCTGTGGCTGCTGTACTTCAGAAGAGCACAGCTCAGCTGCCAAAAAACTTCAGCAAGCACATAGTTTGGGCTTGTGTAGAAATAGCTACCCTTTGTTTTTTAATTTTCTTCTCTTCCAGCAAAAAGCAAGCCATAAAAGGAGCGACTGCCTTAACGGTATCTGTAACAAGTGTAAAATATACCAAGTGTAATGTGACTTTACGTATTAATTTAGTGCTGGCCAGACTTGAGGCCTACAACATCTACTTAAATATGATGGGCATATAAATAGCATTCTAATCGGTTAGCAAATGTTAGTAGCAATTTTTGTTGGTGACTTACAAGTTTCCCTGGTATTTGAAGAGTGATATTTCCAATAGTCATTTCGTATGTGAGGTCAGTGAACTGAATTTGCATCATGCCTTGAAAATTCCATCTGAGAAAAGAGATTTTGGAAGCCCAAAATGGAACTGGAAAACAAAAATGGCAGAAAGAAAAAAAGTTTATATGCATACACAGAACTTCAGACCTCAAAAACGAAAGCGTTGCTGCTAAATAGAGCAGGTTTGTCTAATTGCTTGAGAACCAGAGACTGTAAACATAACAATTTGTTATTGGGCAAAACAGCAGATTTCTATTATATTGTTACGTGGAGATGGAAAACTAGGAGAGTGATGTTATCTATATCCATCAAACTCCCACTGTCAGCTAAGTCTCATTGGAGTTCAGTCTTCATCTGCTGAATATAACCCTGTTTACTGAAAGGAGAATTAAAAAATTTAAAAAAGTTCAGCAACTACACAAGAATTTGGCATCTCAATAGCACTTTTTTTTTGACCCAGCTTCTGTTGCCTCATTCTCAGATGCAGAAACTGATGTAAAGTGAATGATCTGAGTCCACTGTCAGCACCCAAGAGGATAATTTCCAAGGTAAGAATAAAGCTGGCTTCTCCTGCATGGTTCACACCCAGCCTCACAACAAGCGGGTGCTAAGGAAAGCCATTGACCTTTCAGTTTGGAGGGACGGTGGGAGCTTTGTCTTACCTGTCCAGAGATTTTCCAGGCTTATCACAAAACCACCACTCAGGTAGAACGACGTGAAAAGGACGTTGCTGAAAAAGGCTGAGAGCTGTAACGTTGGCAGCAGTGCTGCCAACCAGAGTGCCATCGTGCGGGCACTATATACAGCCAGCCACGCCAGTAATGCTCAGGTTCAGGAATGAGGTTTGCCAGCCAGTAGATAGGAACCCCATAAATTGTAACAAAAGCACAGTGTTCTGGGAGCTCCCCCAAAACCTGTTCAAGAAGCAAAAAAAGAGAGTAAGTTGAACTGCAAAACCACCCAAGATGCACCTTCATGTACTTCTGGGCTGTTTATAAAAACTGCAGGAAATGCTCCCTTAGAATGCAGCCAGCTCCCTGTTAGGTGTTGCCAGTGACAGGCAAAAACAATCCACAATAGCAATTGAAACCCTCACTTCTTTGTTCTCCAGTTGAGACAATTCCTATAACGAACTGTTAAATGGAGAAGATTCTTGTTACAGATTACACATCTTGTTTTGTTGCAGTTTTGGCAGCTTCTAAGAATTTAAGATGCTTTCACTGAGAACTGGTGTGCTCCATAACAGTAATACTGTTACTGACTTAACGGCAACTGTTGAACTTACTGTGAGATCAAATCTGAGACAAATCTGGCTGTTGGTCACTTCCCTGCTTTGTCCCAAAAGCAGTCCAGTTAGTAACTGCTCAGCTCATTGTAAAACAAAAACATGCTTAGCATTTTCTCAAATATCTAAAGATATGTATAGAGTATTATCATTATTTCCTCCAAAAAGGATTGCTACTGTCTTCTAATACAAAGATTGTAACAAATTACATCGATTTCTCTAGGAGTAATGTGCAATCTTTGTGACACAATGCAAAGAATATTTTTCTCTGGCAACTACTAATAAGCATTTAAAATCTTGTGCAGAAATGGAAACCTAAATTACAGATGGCATGGCAGGCGGAACTCATCTAACAGTGGCACATCACAATGAAGAGATTATTCTAAACCCTTGTGAAAAGGAGAATGGAATTTTTTTTAAAGTTCTAAATTTATTCCCAGAAACTCTGTCTCTTTATGCACTTAATACAGTTGTTTGTTCCTGACCAGTACAGGCCCAGACTGGAAGTGTCACCATTAGCATTTTGTCATTTCTGTTTAATCTTTTGCTTTGGTATTTAATAGCAATGTTTTGTTTTACAGATCAAGACATGTAATCAAAAATTCAAAGACTGCTTTCGTGATGCTTCAGGAAATGAAATGGTATGTAAAACTGTCTACACTCTCAAATTTGAGATTTCTCAAATTTTGGCCAAACAACCCAGTGAAAGATTCTGCTTTGGCTTTACTGGGGCGAGATCTCTGCCATGACTTACGGCAACAGATCTAAAGTAGTGTGAGATTTAATCCATTAATCCTAAGGAAGCAAGAATGATAGCCTCTAGTTGGCAGACACAAAAGAAAAAGGTCTGATATTAATGTGATCTTTTATACCACAAGGCTTTGTTTTCTGTTTGGTTTTGTTTTTGTTTTTTTTTAATGTTAAAGCCAGCTGTTTGTATTTCCTGGCAACAAACCTGATTACCTTAGCAAAGAAGTATGGGCTAACAGAGTACATTCCATCTTCTAAGTCATGATAAAGCATAGCTCTTTCTGAATGACCTGCAGGGTAGGAACAAACAGGTTAGTTTCATTCTAAGATTGCATTAGTATAATTTTTGCATTGATTTAGGAGTTTTCTGATTTTGATTGCTTGTAACATTTACAAGAAAACTAACACTTACATTTGGCAGTAACATCCAAAATCACTGTGAATGGGATTAGTGCACCTATCATGTACAACAGTGCTGTTGTGTCACGAATAGGGAGTCTGGTCTCATGGCCATAGTACAAAAATCCAATTAATAACGACATTAGAAGGGCCTCAAATCCGTGGATTAATAACGTTGGAAGATCTCTGAAGTCATTGGAGACTTGACGACTAGGAAAACAGCAACATTGACCATAAGGCACAGTGCTTACTAATGCCAGTTCTATTCAAATCCATTGCCCCAAATGCTTTGTTAAAATCCGTTCATGGAACTAGCTGGCTTGGAGGAGGACAGGAGTTGGGCTGTCAGTTTCTGTGAAGGTTTTTACTTAATCAAAGTAATTATTGAGGTGTCTGTAGCCCCTAGTATTTCAGGTCTGCAATGCTGAAAGCTTGAAGGAAGGCAATGGGGGTGGGACTCTGATTTCAGAGATGCAGAAGCAATTACTTCATTTTAGAAGTCTCTCTGTTAAGGACCTGTAACGTAAGCTAGTGACAGCTGATACTGGTAGGGATCTTCTACAGGTATTATAATACTTGATTGTGTTTCTTTTGAGTAGGCCAGCATGAAACCCAACTGCAACATTCATGTATGGTGGCTATAATCTGTGAAGCCTCCTGGCTTCAAATCTGAGGCAGACGTGTGAGGGGGGTGGCAATGCCTGAGCCTACCACATGCCTGCCTGGGCTTGCTGAGGGTTTTGTCATGACACCTGGGAATCAGGATGGCAGTACCCAAAACTGGGACCGTGATCCTGAGTGTGGAGGCTCCTGCTGCTCCTTAAAGCCACAGGCCCCCAGCAGTGTGTCTGGAAGGAGCCCTGGGGCAGAAAGCTGGGGCTGTACCTCTGGCTGCCATCCTGCTCAGGGGGCTGGGGTGAGCCAGTATAGCAACACCTCTGCTCTGTGGCTTCCCAGGCCTAGCACTTCATCTGCACTTTTAGCAGTTCTCATTTTTTGCATTCAGTTCTCATGTTGTGCTTCTTTCTTATGCTTTCAAATACAAATGGGCATCATACATAACTGTTCATGCTGGAGATGACGTTACCTTAACAATATAGTGAACTGCTTTAAGACTCCTGGTAACTGATCACTTGCATGGTTAGGCATGTTGATAGCCTCTTCTGAATTTAAATGGGACCTGCCCAAAAGAAAAGAGAAGAAAAAAACAAACAAAAAATAGCACAGGCTGTGGCTTTTATTCCAGTTCTGCTGTATGCCACACTTTTCTTTACCTTTGCTTGCTGAATGTGGTTGCAACGTTGTCTCCTTCAGTAACTTTCCATAAAAAATCATCAAAATCTTTGACTTTTTCTAGGAACAAGTTGGCAAGAGTATTTGCTCTTTTTCGGCTTTCCATCTCCTTTTCTGCAGTCTGTTTATCGATACTGGTCAAATCAACTGCAAGACATTGTTTGATATGAGTCGATATGCTACAGATGTGATAACTCCGTGATGTGTTTAGAATCAAAGATTTAATTGTGAACAGCCAGTATGACACGTGTGCATGCATTAAGGTACAATTGTTAAAACTTTATCAATTATTTTAGGTAATTAGAGAAGGACAGGTTGTTCATGTGTATTTTGTCTTGGGAGATATTTCTTACTTAGTCATTCAATGAGTCACTAAGTCATTTTGTAATTGCTTATTATAATATTGTAAACAGCTATTTTAGATTTTTCTAAATCTAACAGTGGCTTGAGAGGATTGCTGAGAACAAACAATTTTAATTTCCTTCCTGGCAGGTACATGTAGTCATTTACAAACCAGTATGTGTCTTGGAGAAAAAAAAACATTTGATTTAAGTCAATCTGCAAAATTATGATTGTCATCTTTTTTTGTATCCTACAGAGGTGCCATTAACTTTACTTGTTACTGAGAAAGCCCAAGAAGAGTGTTATGTGAGGATAACATAGTAGCTGCAACAATAGTTGACTTAGCATTATTTTTTACTTAACTGAATGGGGTTTTTTTTTAATCTAAACTTAGAGTAGTATTTTCCAAAGCTGACCTTCAGTGTAAAGTGACAAAACCTGATGTTTTGCAGGTGCTTTCTGAGAGCACTATTTCTGCACGTTTCATAACTCCATACCTTGGGCTGATAGTCTCTGTTCAGCCAC